TCCCAGGTCGGGAGCTTGGGTCTCGTCCCTGCTCGGAGCCAGTACCAGAAGCCGACCGCCCAGGCCCAGCGGGGCTTCTGAAATTCCCATAGAGGAAGCGGGTCTCTGAAGTATTTTATGAGCTCATGTTTGGGCACGTTGTCATAGAATACCTGCTTCTTGCTCCTTGATCCGATACAGGCCTACGTGGCCACCGGCCAGAGCTCTGACTCTTGTATCCCTCTGTATTCTCATCTGAAAACTGAGGCCACAACGTCCTCCCATCTCTACCTCAGACAAGGAAACTGAGGCTCCGAGTCAGCATTTTCCCGGGTCTCCCAACAGGAAGGAGCAGAGCTGGGCCTTGACCTGGGTCGGCTTTGGGGCACGGCCAGAGGGTTCTCGTGAGGACCTCCTATGTGCATGCTACCTCTCCCACCTAGGTGGCAGCCCACCTTGCATGGTTTCAGGTCTCCAAGCCTGGTGCGGAAGGCGGGTATGCGCCAAAAGCTCAACAAAGCGAGTGCCCCTGGCCTGGGGAGTGCGTGGATGCTCGAGGTTGGGGGGCAGGGGTGGACATCGCTTTGGAGACAGGGCGAGCTTGGAAGTCCCCATGACTCACACATTTTGTCCAGGCTCAGGAGCCGTGTGGGGGGCTCTGTCTGGTCCTGGGGTCGGGAGTGCTGTGTGTGCTCGCCGTGACAGGCTCTAGGCAGAACACTGGGGAGGAAGCTCTTCCCCATGAGAGGAGAAGAAGCAGTTCTGGGTCCACCCTCCCCTGGACCAGGTTTCCACGAGTGGGTGTGGTTAATCTGCCCCAAGCTGAACCAGCCCCCCCACCCCGCTCCGCCCAGCCCTCCCGCGGGCTGCTGAGCATGCTGGTGGATGTCCCCCTGCTCCACTGAGCCTGGGGCTGCCTCTCCCGACCCTCTCACCCATCACTTGGGATGACTTCAGGGGAGGGGACGGCCCTGCTCTGGACTCAGGTCCGCGTGGTGGGTGGAAGCCTGAGCTGGACGGTCCTAGCCCCCTGCTAGCATTGACAATGTGGCCCTGGGAGGCCACGTGGCTCCTGACATCTCCTCCCTGGAGATGGAGTCAGAACCTACGGGGAGGGGTGGGTAATTGCACCCTGATCCCTACTGCATCCAGGGGCTCAGGCACAGCGCAGAGCTGGCTCCTCCCTCCCAGGACCCACTGCACGAGAGGCGCGCTGTCTTCTGGGGGACCAGGTGTGACAGTGTCTCTGAGGACGTGTTCCTTATTCCAGGCCCCTGACCAGACACGAGAGCTCTGTGAGGGCAGCCTGGACCTGGGCCTGCTACACAGAGGTCAATGGAGGCTAGAACCCAGGTGGTAACCCTGGGGCCCCAGCTCGGGTGCCGGTGTGGTCTGCACCTGTGCCACTGTGGGTGCTCCGTCACCGCCGGCTGCAGTCACTGCCAGGCTGTCCCGGGGGCAGCGAGTCTGCGGCTTGCTCGAGCTGGGACAGGACAGGTCAGGGCTTCACCACTTGGGGCAAAGATTCTCAAGCAGAATTGTTTAGGTTGCATTTTTCTCATGATGAATCTTTGGAATTTGCAGGAGAACGAGGTTCCCCAGGAGCCCCTGGGAAGGCAGGACCACCTGGGCCCAAAGGTAACAACGTGATAAAGGGTGAAGACTCCTGAGTGGGACCCTGAGGGCTGTCTATAGAGAAATGAGAGAGATACAGAGATAGACAGACAGAGAAGGGGGGAGACAGAGACACAGAGAGAGAGCGAGACAAAGAGAGGCGGGAGAAGGAGCGAGGGAAGAGACAGAGAGAATGGGGGAGGGTGGAAGGAGAGAGGAGAGCGACGGAGAGAGGGAGACAGAGGGATGGACAGGGACCCTATCACATTTTCCGTTTCCAAAGAGCCTTGGGATAGTCCACGAACTGAGTGCAGGATCCAGGGTCCTGGGCCCAGAGTGACCGCTCCTCAGCCAGGGGAAGAGTCCCAGGTCTGAGTCCCCTTCCCCTCCGCTGAGACCCTGCCACTTTAAAAACCTTAGTAAGCCAGCAAAGCAATGAGCAAGTACTGCCAGAGCCCTTGGCCTGGGACTCCGCCCACTTGACCTCCCCAAAAGCAGAGCTGGGCGTCGGTGTCTCAGTGACCAGATGTTCTCCCCATCAGTGGCCCTAACTCTCCTGTCTCTCTCCAGGAGACCGAGGGGAGAAGGGCCAGCGTGGAGAGAAAGGTGAGCCTGTTCCGCTGTCTTTGGGGGCGCCTCGGCAGGTTTTGTCCAGGGGAGTGGTTCCCAGAGGCCACAATCATGCTCGGCACCATCCTCTGGGGAGGGTCTCAGACCCAAGTCCCTTCCATTCAGGCAATGGTCGGGGGGTCTCTGAGCCAGGGCTCAAAGCCCAGCACCTGCCAACGTTGGACCCAATGATTGGCAAGTCTACAGGATTGCATGGATGTGGACATGTTACTTATTCTATTGTTTTCTGATTTATGCTCACTTACAAAAAAATTTATAAAAATCAGAAAAGGCAAAACTCTCAGACACAGTCACATGCTCTGTCCTCAAGTAAAAAATGCAAGATTGGGGCATGGACCCAAATACCAAACGCCCCCCAGTACTTTCTGCAACAGGAAACTATGACAGAGAGATTGGGTTGAGCTTGGACTGGTCGTGATAGAACAAGAACAGTCGACTCTGCTTCAGTGAGAACACGAAGGCCCAAAAGCGAGGGCCAGGACGGCGGGCCAGTCAGTGCCCTGAGTGACAGTGCTGACCGTCAGCCCACAGGCAAAGCCAGGCACAGGGATCCAAGCAAGTGGAGGTGTGGCCTACACGTTCCCAGTGAAGCAGAGTCTAGGAACCCCTTGCTAGGAATGGGTGTCATGTGAGCGGGAAAGATCTGGATAATCGTCTCCATTCTCCATTTGATGTTCGTGGAGCAACTGAGGCTGAAGGGGATGAGGGCTCTGATCTCCAGACTTGTGATGTGCGTGTCCTCTCTCCCCACACACAGGAGACCCTGGGCAGTCTCAGTTATGTGCCACAGGTGACTGACCACGCCACTGACCTGGGGACCTGAGCCTGGACCTGCTCCCTGCCGGCTAGCAGCACACAGACGCGTGTTCCAGAACCTAAAGACAAAACACTCTCTGTACATAGTTTACTCCTTTGATTACTCAAGTAATAGGCAGCTGTTGCCCAGATAACTCTAGCATATTCCTAGCAATTCTTCAGAGGAGCTTATAATATTCCTTGAAAGGCCAGGTGCCCAGGGGACTAAGGTGGGGGCGGCCCGGGAGGTGGGGCCAGCCAGGTGGCCTGGGCTTGGCCATCACAACTGGGTGGCCTTGGGGGGCTACAGCTCTGTCCCGGGCCTCAGAGTCCTCCGCC